AATATGTCCACTGAAGTACGTTACGTAAATGTCATTCGTGAAGTAGGTTCTAATCCATTTCACGTGTTCTATTGTACCCCAGCTCAGCTTCATGTCTATCAAGAATACTGTCGTGTTACCAAGAACAAATCTCAAATTTGTATAGATGCAACTGGTAGTCTGGTAAAAAAGTTTGAAACTTGTCTAAACCGAAAATCAAGTCACATATTTTTGTATTCAATAACTATAAACTTTGAACAAACAACATTGGCAGTGAATCAAATGTTGTCAGAGAAGCATAATACGGAATTTATTGAATATTGGCTCAAAAGCTGGCTGCGTATGGGGGCTTCTCCACCAAACGAGGCTCATTGTGATTATTCTCGTGCTTTGCTGGTAGCTCTATGTGGAGCATTTAACCGACAGACAATCAAAGATTATGTTGACTCGTTGTTTTTATCAGCAACAAAAGGAGATAAAAAGTGCGATTAATGGCAACCATCTACATTCTTAAGAGTAGACGTAGCTCACGTAATGCTTTTTTGTGCCAAATGGGAATGCATTAAAAATCAGAAACATCCATACTTGAAAAGTTTTTACCTTCGCACAATTGCGCTAATGATTGACTGTCAATCTGTTGAGGAGTTTAAACGGATCATGCTGTTAACATGTATAGTAGCGCTCCAGCCTTACGAAAATACAATTATTATTTTACCAGAGTTTCAACTGTCGGTTAAAGAAGCAAGGCAAACTCTTGAAAAATTTATATCCGTACGAGGGCCTATAATTCAAGAACTAGAGACTTCGGCAACTTCTTGCAAGAAGAAGCATCAAGACACCATTGAGATGATTGAACCCAGTGATACGAATTTAACTACCACTCATCGGTGGATAAAAACTCGAATAAATATGGTCAAACCTAAGAATCTTAAGGAGGAAACTGGAATAGAAATAAATGGCTTTTATTTACCTAATTTTGTTGATCAGATTGAAAGAATAGCTAAAGAATTTCCGCTGTGGACTGCCGCTATCGTGCCAAATAAAAAAAAGCATGCATCAACAGCATATATGGAGGGATATTTTGCCGATTTAAAGGATAAAGTTTTCAAAGATTTCTCTAAACCAATAACCGTGAATCGTTTCTTAAGAGTGCATGTAGATGATTTGATTGGTGCTGCAAATTTATTCGCTCCAATTTTAAAACACTTTAATATGCAAAGACTACTTGTACCTGTACCCACAGATTCCAGTTTCAAAACTGAAGAACATCACAATGAGTCAAACTTAACAAATTCTAACGTGGAGTCAGCTCCAAGCTTTCAGATCCCGTGAATTATGGGGAGGGTTAGTCAATGAAAATAACATTTTATTCGAAAATGATCAAGAAACTTTAGTCTAGCAAAGAAATGTGGAAACACTAAGTGACCAATCTAAAATAATTGTGGACTTATCACACAACAAAAATATTCATCAAATTGACAATTCAAATTTAAAACGGAGCAAGTTGGAATATGCTGATGGTGATTGTATCTATGGCGGTTTCACCAACTACCAACAATTGTCCGATAACCAACATGATTCTGAATTTGAGGCTAAAACTGAAGACCTACAAAACCCGACATTTGTTTCCAAATTGTTAAATTTAGAAAGTAAAGATATGGTAGAGCTTATTGATAATAATTTATTTCTGGATAATAAGCGGAGTATTCAATGAGATCAGTCACTCTCTGTTGATAATATCTCTTCACCAGTTTCTATGACTCCTGCTTTTTCGAGTACACCACTACTTGACCATTCATATGCAAACATTATAAATCCAAATGAGCAAGAACTATTGATTAAAGAAAACAACAAAACAGATCCTGACAAAGATAAAAAAAAAAGGACAAGAAAAACACAATAATTAGTAATAATAGTGGCAAACCTCAAGCACCACCAAGTTATTATTTTAAACCATACCCGGAATAAAAGTCATTAATCAAATGAAAGTGTCACAGAAAAAAGGATTTTTGCTGCCAAATGGTCTTATATCAAAACCAGTAAAATTCGAAGGAAAAACTACATTTGTTCAAAATACATGTGGAATTGATGCAGCCATTCAAATACTTCATTTCGGTGCCCTTGATGATCCAGTTTATTGCTCGACAGTTCAATCATCTACCAACGAGACATTGCAATTGGTTCATGCTTTTATGAAAAAAGGACCAACAAAAGACATTTTTCTTCGACGATTCTTGATTCTGCGAAAATTTTACCCAATTGTTCAACGAACAAAAGCGACAACTTCACTCAATCCATATTTTTTAAATGCAGAGAATAATATCGGGACAATTTGGAGTGAAGTATTTGATTCCGAACCGAGTCTATTTAAAACATACGAATGTAATAATCCCACTTGCAATTCTGAAGTACAGACTATTCCATTTCTTTCTGTGAATCATAGAACGATTGAAAGAAAAGGATTCGGGGCGTTGGAAGAAGCTATACAATTTCATTCACGTATTTCCAATATCAGATGTCGTAAAGAAGGGTGTAAAGGAATTGCCACGGAGATTAATATGACTAATTTCCACATTTTCATCGAACTTGACATAAGACCACGAATCCAAATGACTGCTGGAATGCAATGTACTCTAGGTGATTTTCCGATTGTTCTGCATTTGGAGAAAAAATATAGGTAAGCACAGTCCACAGGCATCAATTAATTAAAAGAAGTGCAGTATTATAATTACTCTTTTATTTTTTAGATTAGCAGGTGTCATTGGTTATACCCCTAGTCATTTCGTTGCCTATTGCCGGCGAATTACAGGTCGTTGGTTATTATGCAACAATCTTAAAACTACGATAGAGTCATGCAATGATAAGACTGTGATTACCCCTCATGGGGTTATTTATATCTTATAAACAATATATCTTATACAATCTTAAAACTACGATAGTCATGCAATGATAAGACTGTGATTACCCCTCATGGAGTTATTTATATCTTATAAACAATATATCTTATAATAAGTAACATATACGTCGAGTCGGGAGGCGAATAGAAATTAAGCAATGGAGAAAAAAACTTGGTATACATAACAAAATAGTTTATACAGTAATACATTATCTACATATTTGATTTCGAATATCCCCAAGGATCTTTCTTTTGGTCTTAAGACGAGAGAAAATTCACAGATCTTTTTAAATATCTCGTGTAATCTTTCCTTTGAAAATACCTATAAAGACAATAAATGTATTAATATATATGCTTTTTATAAAACTTATATTTAAATGTGTTACGATAGTTATTTTACTGTTTATACATACTTTGTACAGCTCATGTTGCTCGGAAGCAAGTATGTCAGCCAGCTGAATGTAACTGTTGTGCTCGTTCATCTCGGACATAACCGAATGAATCGACGAGCCAGCCGCTGTCGGGAAACAATAAAACATTAAATAATAATTGTTTCACAACCTGATTTTAGATCCCCGCATTCGGTTTCGCTTGTGCTATTATATTTTGCATTAATGTTTTCGCGCACCTTCGTATGCTGCATCGTAGATTTCCATCTTTCGAATTCTGAATTGTACTGCGTCTTTCTGGGATCGGACGCAACCTTTTCCGTGAACGTGGCATACATCGGCAACTCTTCCGGTGGCGTAGGTTTACCGTGACGATTTTGCGAGAACCATTTGCCGAAACCTTCTTGAGCGTCAAGATACGTTTTATAATAAAGGTAGTCTCTTATCGATGCAGCCGCTTTCTTCGACAAATTATTAGGTATCGTAAGATTCGTGAGTGTGCAGTCCATAATTGGGTACTCACTGATTCTATCGAATCTGATGGGATCTATGCAACATAAAAATAATACCGTTAATATAAAAACAACTACCGTTTAACTAAAAATAAATTAATTAATTATTTATAAACTGCGCTGAATTACCTTGTTAAATACTTTTCGCGTCGCATCGATCTTTTCGTTAGTCAAGAAGTATCTAATGACCGCGGTTGTTTGTCGTAAAGCTTCTTCTCTTTGACTTTGATAGAAAATTAGCCAATCCAGACCATTAATCTTTTCCATATCCGCCTCAATAATAGTTCCTTTTACGTTGCATCGCATTCTAGGTGTTTCTTACGTATATTTTCCACCACCAATTTCGTAATAGCTTCTACATTCAAGTTCACGTCTTCCGCCGCGCGTAAACATTTCTTCCGCTGTTCATGCTCTTTAACACATTCTAAGTAAGAGGCATAGTTGGTTATTTGATCCTACTTCACGAATGACATTTACGTAACGTACTTCAGTGGACATATT